AAAGAATAATTATTGTTGGGGCCCCTGGTGCACGGCCCCTTCGCCGCGCCTAGGCCGCAGCCATGTTTTCATCATTTTCGTGAGGAAGTCTCCGGCAAAACGGGTTGGTCCGGATCCGGTTGTTTTGTTACGGGCGGTTTTCCCTTGCAAAAAATAAGGCAAAGTGGACATTTCTTGTTCTAACATAATCAAATTTCAAGAATCCCTTGCAAAAAATAAGGTAAAGTGGACATTCGCGCGCGCAAGACGAAATCCTTCCAAAACCTTAGTGTTCGCAGCGATTTTAACATAAAAACATCAAAAAAAACCAATGGTTTTTCAACAAAAAATTGTCAAAATCTCATCCCGCGCGCTCTTGCGGATTCGTAGGAAACCCAACACTTTTTAAAACATTTCTGTCAAACGGGCTTTTGCGAGCAAACTGAGAAGCCGAGACAACACTTCTCTCCACAAAACAAATAGTTGCGCACCTTGCCAGGGCCATCATCCCTGTCATCCGGCATCGCTGACAACCATCGGGACAACCATCGGGACCACCATCGGAACAACCATCGGGACAACCATGGGGACAACCATCGGGACAACGATCGGGACAACCACAACCATCAGGACAACCATCGGGACAACCATCGGGACAACCATCGGGACAACGACCGGGACAACCATCGGGACAACCATCGGGAGAACCATCGCAACAACAATCGGGACAATCATCGGGACAATCATCGCGACAACCATCGGGACAACCACAACCATCATGACCTCCAACCAGAGAGAGCTAGTCACGTGTATTTCGTAGACGAATGAGCCAGTATTGCACATTGAGGCCGGAACGACAACCACGGAACAAGAATGAGCATGTATCGTCTCGCAACAACGGAAACAAGTCCTGTGGTATGCTGGCGCCACGCACGTGGTACCACTCAAAATAAGTGTCTTCGCTTGTGTGGTACAGAAAACGGCAAAAAAACGTCGTATCAGACGCCAGCGCCTTTTTTTGCACCCTCCTCACCAGCCAAAGCAGTCCATATCATAGTAGGACCTACAGACAGTACCGGCGTCGTACTGGTTTACCGTGGTTTCCTATTCTAGCGTCACGAACACGTTACCACCAAAAACCAGTACAGGTGTCCAGTGTTGGAACAGGGGGAAAAGTCGGATACTAAGCTAGCTTCCACAAAATGTTACCACAACAAGTCACTGTACCCATGCGCCAGTGTAGTAGCCAAGGTCGTCCGCAGGCCGCGAAGTGAAGTGTCCGAACGTCATAGGGCGGGAAGCTGGGTGTGGGTGGTGGCGAAGAGTCGTGTGGAAACTTGGTAGAGCGTGAACCGGCCCCCCCACAAAGTGGGGGGTTGGCGGGCGTCGTCATGAAAACCCTGAGCCCACTGGTGGAGGAACGGGAGTTGGTCCCCACGTGCTAGTAACAGTTGAATTGTGAATATTATTACTTCGAAAGAATAATTATTGTTGGGCCACTGGTGCACGCCCCCGCGCCGGCCTAGGCCGCAGCCAAGCCACATTTTCATTTCAAATTCTGAGGAAAGTCTCAGGCGAAACGGGGGAGTCCGGATATCCGTCCGTTTTTGCGCCCGCCTTTCCTTCTCTGAAAAAAAGATAAAATGACATGTCTTGTTCTAACATAGCCAAACTTCAAGAATCCTTTTGCAAAAAATGACACGAAGTGCACACTCGCGCGCGCAAGATGAAATCCTTCCAAAACCTTAGTTTTCGTAGCGATTTTAACATAAAAACATGAAAACCCAATGGTTGTTGAAAAAAAAAGTTTCAAAAATTCATCCCGCGCGCTCTTGCGGATTTCTTAGGAAACCCAATACTTTTTCAACATTTCTGTCAAACGGGCTCTTGCGAGCAATTGTTTCACGTGCTCCGAACTTCTGCAACAACGGTTGCGCGCCCCTGCCAGGGCCATTCATTTCCCTGTCAAATAATTACCATGCGGGGACACATTCGTTTTTTTCTTCGCCTCCCGCGCGCACGCCGAAATCTTCCAACACCCATTGGGTTCTTAAGAATTTCAGCACCG